GAGATTTTACCCCGAAAAAGGAAAAGTGACAGACACTGCATAGTTTGACTTGGTACTGCACAAAGTTTTGATTAAATAACTAGAACTATATAAAATTAACATGGCACAATTAAATCGATTAGAAGCTGACCAACTGATAGGCCTCAAAATGTAATTGTAAATGTGGTATCATCATCAAGCGGATGTGTTTCTAGTGGGAGACCGCAGGGGTTGGTTCTTGGCCCTATGCTATTTAACATTTATATCTATGACTTAGAAGAAAAAATAAAATCATCACTGATAAAGTTTTCCGATGACATAAAAATTGGGGGAATGGTAAGTAATGAAGAGGACAAGTCACTGGTACTGAGAGATCTGGATCAGTTGGTAAGCTGGGTGCAAGAAAACAAGAAGTGTTTTAATACAGCTAAATGTAAATGGATACATGTAGGAACAAAGAATGTAGGCCATACTTGCAGAATGGGGGACTCTATCCTGGGAGATTATTTTACCTCCATATTTGACACTGGTGCTATCACTGCTGTGTCCAGTTCTGGTGTCCACAATTCAAGAAGGATGTTGATAAATTGGAGAGGGTTCAGAGAAGAGCCCCATGTGTTACAGGGATAGAATCTAGGAGCTCAATCTATTTAGCATAACAAAGTGAAGGTTAAGGGGTGACTTGATCACAGTCTATAAGTAGCTGCATGAGGAACAAATATTTCATAGTGGGCTCTTCAGGCTAGCAGAGAAAGGTATAACATGATTCAGTGTCTGGAAGTTGAAGCTAGAAAAATTCAGATGGGATATAGGGAGTAAATTTTTAACAGTGAGGGTAATTAGCTATTGGAATCATTTAACAAAAGTAGTGGTAGATTTTCCGTCACTGATTGGATGTTTTTCTAAAAGATTAGATCTGGGAATTATTTTGGGGAAGTTCTATGGCCTGTTTTAAACAAGGGTCAGACTAGATTATGATAATGATCCCTTCTGGCCTTGGAATCTATTATTCTAAGTCCAGTAGAGACTTTGCTATTGATTTTACAGGGAAGGTGCTCACATACAATGGAGTTGGGTGGACGTATAAAACCCTGAGATAGAGATAGGGGAGCACTACATTAATATGCACTGTGATAGCGGAATCTTCACAACAGGGGGATAAAAAAGTAGAAATTTGTGCCAGAATTTTCAAACTTGGAGTCCTCAGGTCAGTACCTAAATCTATGTTCTGAGGGTGCTTTGTACATATGAAAACCTGGCCATTTATTTTGGTGCCATAATATGATTTTAAAGGCTTGATCCGAAGTCTACTGTGGGACAAGAGAGAAAATAGAAAATCTCTGAATACCAAAAAGGTAAAAGTTTGCAGAATCAAGTTAAAGTTCTTGTGCTGAAACCACTGCCTGTCATGCTGACCATAGCATAATCTCATTGTTTCCTTGTACTTCCCCCATTAGCTACTGTCTTATACTTAGATTGTTAGCTTTTTAGGCCAGGGACTGCATATCATTTCTGTGTGTGTCTAGCGCCTAGTATAATGGGGGTTTGGTCCATGGGGCTTCTAGGTGCTATTGCAATCCAAATAACACAATGGTAAAAAGAAGTACAGCAAATGCTTATTTGCATCCATCTTCCAGCTGATGGTATTTTCCATGTTTTGACTGTCCTGCTAATCAACTTGTTCAAAGCAGAGAAGCATCATATTTTGAATTATAAATTTCCACAGTTTGACTGCTATGAAGCAGCCTGTGATTTGTCAGATTAAATTTCTGAAAGGGCGATATATGGGTTGTGTAGTTCATTAACATGTTGCAAAGAATGTTTTGAATATTATTCAGACATTGGCAAGCTCTCTTGTCTTAGCACCACTGGGGTGCTGTTTGTTTGTTTGTTTGTTTAATTTCATTTGCTGATATGTTACATGGTGGTGACTCAGTTTATGTTATAAGGTAATATCCATTCTTCATGAGGAGAAGCCTAGGGGAAAACTTCCCTCAGTTCTGAATCAGCTGTGGTCTCTGAACCAGACCCAGCTGCCAGGCTGCTGTAAACTTTCCAGAATCATTATTTCGACTTATGGTACCATTAAGTTCTCATATAACTCTTAACAGAAACAAAATCCCCACCTAAAGGGGGATGTGCAAGCAAAATTTGTGCTTTCATTAAAGTCCATAATCACTAGCAAATGTTATTGATCAGTACGTTTATTTTGATTAGGGAGCAAGAAATGGTGTTACTGAAATCTCCACACAGATTAGCTTGGGACTGGAAATAATTTACTTCCGTCTGTTTGTATAGTTTGTGGCAGCTGTTTTATTTTATAATGTAAGGGTGCCATCTAGCGGTCATAACAAGCTACTTTTTTAGTGAAACCTAACCAAATGCTAATGTAATCTCAGATTTATAAATGGTATATTATTAAAACACCCTAAAACAGGCACTTGATGTAACTTGAGCATTTTCAGATGCGCTGTCTGCATCTCATCTGTAACAGCAAGTTGTCACACAGGATATCAACACTGAAGTCCGGTCCAGTGCTGCCTGACTAGTGTTGAATCCCTAATCCCTGCAACTTCACTGGACTGGTCACCTCGTACATATGGATGATATGTGACTCCCCAAAGCCATATTTTATGGAGAGTTGAAAATGGGAGTACATATGCTAGGAGGCCAATGAAAACAATACAAGAACACTCTCAAAGCCCACCTAAAAGCTGGCCACGCCGACCCGAACACATGGGAAGCTGCTGCTGGTAGATCAGGATTGTGGCAGACCTGTTGGTCTGAAGTTAAAGCCATTGAGAACAGCTGAACAGAAAAGGCCAAAGAGAAGCATGAGCGAAGAAAGCAGGCCGTGGCAAAAACATGTGGCCATGTCTGCCAGACATGCGGATGCATCTGCGGATCCCTCATTGATTTACATTTGCCCAAGAAAACACACGGAAACAACTTGACTCTCTTATGTCGACTATGACTATTATTTATTTTTTAAGAGGTGGATATTGTCCTCTTATAAAACTTTGAAATCAAATTTATGTTTGCATATGTTTTCTTTTAGAAAAACACAATGTGCAACAATTTAATATACCAGTAGTTATTAAGTAGAAATCTATGGGCTAAAAACATAAGGGGCAAAGTTTTCAAAACAGCTCAGCTTCCATTTAGGCACCTAGAGAAGGGCTGGATTTTTCAAAGTGAGCAGAACCTAGCTGTTCTCCTTAAGTCTCTTATGGACAGATTTTCAAAAGTGATCAGCACTTACCACGCTGGGCACTTCTGAAAATCTGGTCACTTCATTTTGGTACCTGAATGGGAGCTGAGCTCTTCTAAAAAATCTGGCCCCATTTCTGTTCACAGCTGTCTTTCAGCAAATATCCTACCACCAGACTCCCCCACCTCAATCTTTCCATTGGGTAGTACTGTTCTAAAATAGCATGCTGTTTGCAAATGACAAGATTAATGCCATTTTCCTTGGAAATATAGTTAGTATAAACAACCATGAACAAGAAATAGGATTACAATAAGGTAAAGCATTTTATTAGTCTCTGATACTGAAGCCTCAGCTCCCAGTGAAGTCACAATATGTCATAGAATCAGATTTATTATTATTATTATTAATTTATTATTTTAATTATATATTATCTGTGTATTATGTAATACCTAGCGGCCCCATCTGAAATCAGAGTCCCATTCTTCTAAGTACTATACAAAGCAGAGTAAGACAGACCCTGTCATGAAGACCTTTCAGTCTAAATCAGTGGTGGGAAACCTGTGGCCCACAGGCTGCATGCAGCCCATCAGGGTAATCTGATTGTGGGTCGCAAGACATTTTGCTGATTTTGACTGTCTGCAGGCATGGCCCCCCGCAGCTCCCAGTGGCTGCGGTTCGCCGTTCACAGCCAATGGGAGCTGTGGCAAGCGGTGGGTCGCAGGGACACCCACCATTGGTCTAAATTGACAAGACAGACAGTGGGTAGGAGAAAGAAACATTACTATCTCCATTGTACAGATGGGGCGCTGAGGCAGATTAAATGAATGCCAAAGGTCACACAGGAAGGCTGTAGTAGAACCAGGAATTAAACCCAGATCTGCTGATCCTAGTCTAGTGTCATAATCGCAAGAACATCCTTCTTTTCTAAGGGCCTGAAGTCAATAAGACTCTTTTCATTAACTTCAATAAGACATGAATGAGGCCCTAGATCCGTTAAGAGTAGGCACCTTTTGAGGAGCACAATTTGTTTTTAGACAGGAAATTTCACCTTGTAAAGAAGTACTATCTATAGCATGCTATTCTCTCTTATTATTTATCATTTGTATTACAATACTACCTCAGAGCTCTGATCACAGACCAGGACCCCATTCTGCTAGGTGCTGTACAAACACAGAACAAAACCACAGTCCCTACCCAAAATAGTTTACCCAGTTTCTCTTCCTTATTTATTGTAGCTTAAGAGTTCTGTATCGTGAGGAAGGGTGAATCTGGTGGAACCTTTGGTTTTGCTAATCTTACTAATGAATATATTAGACTCTCAGTATAGACTTAGACAGCACGGAAACTTTTTCTCCTGTAATTTAAACCCATCCGGTATTTTTAATCCTGAGGTTTTTTCAGTTTTTAACAAAATGTTTTTCTCACAAAAGAGAAGCCTGCACTATGTTGGAGAAAACAGAATTCCTCGCTACCTTCCAAAAGCTAGGCTGGCTTCCAGCAGGCTTCTAACACCACAGTTTTGTCCAAAGTATTAACTACAACTTTCCTATGTCTTGCAATTATGGGCTTTGGGGTAAAATTGTGCCACAGGCCAGCATCCCTTATACATTCCCATGGGTTGGCTTTTTTCCTAATGTTCTCAGTTCATATACAACCTCACATACTCAGTGGCTGACTCAATCTCTTGGCTAAAGTTGTAGAGAATATTAACAAGTTGTGTCTATCATGTTTTTTTTTTCATCACCACTTCCAGAGTACCTAGTAAGTACAGTATTGCCCTAACTTGTTTACTAATATGTCTGGTCTGCAGGGGGTGAGCTGTTTGCTGGGCTCTACAATGACTACTGGGGGAGAGATGCTGCTGTCTTGCGTACTATGGGTCGTATGCCACATATTCGAACTGAACCTGATGATGAACGTTTATTGAAAGGTACAGGAAGTGAAAGATACAGGGCCCTTCCTCTTCATAAAGTTAGGGAAATCTTCTTTGGAGATCTGTTGTTTATCAGAAATGAGAACTACAATGTCATGAGCCAGATTCACCCTGGATCCAGCACAGAATTTTAGAGAGGGCTTCTCTCTGCATAAGATCCTCCCAAGGGGTTGAAAGAGTGCACCAACACAGGCTTACAGCCAGCAGTGGACAATGTGATTCCACAACCGGCAGGTCACCTATGGAGAGTGCATGCTTAGGGAGGCTAGATGTGCTGATTCAGTGCATCAGCTAAGGAGCCTCCATCTTAAGCCCAAGAGAGGACAGAGGTGACAGCCCTGTTGCCTGCCTTTTCCAGTGGGCCTCAGACCTGGGGAACAAAGAGGAAGGCTGGTGCAAGGAAGTGCAGTTTGGATCTATTTGCGCCAGTGCAAGTGAATTTGGCTCATTGGCTCTACAATGTGGTTGTAGATTGGAGGCATCTCAAAAGTGGTGATTTTTTCAGATGCTAGGGGTGAAATCGTGGTCCCACTGAAATCAATGGGAGTTTTGCCATTGACTTAGTGAGTTGGAATTTCAACCTAGATACAAGGCCTCATTTCACCAAACCACTGAAATATGTACTTAACTTTGAGCAAGTGTTTCAATCTCTTGACTCCAATGAGACTAAATACATGCTTGAATAGTTTGCTGAATCGTGGACCTGGGTACTACAATGGCAAGTACTATATAAATCAGTGGTTCTCAAACTTTTTTACTGGTGACCCCTTTCACATAGCAAGCCTCTGAGTGCGACCCCCCCCCTTATAAATTAAAAACACATTTTAATATATTTAACACCATTATAAATGCTGGAGGCAAAACGGGGCTTGGGGTGGAGACTGACAGCTCACAACCCCCCATGTAATAGCCTCGTTACTCCTTGAGGGGTCCCGACCCCCAGTTTGAGAACCCCTGATATAAATGATGTCAGAGATAATTAAAAAGTTAGATAGATGTACTCAATACATAGGCAAAATTGATCTTATCTCTAAGAGATCTTCTGTTTAAAATTAGGTTTCATGGTGGTATGGTTACAGTTTTGTTTTTTAATTTCCTCTAGTTTTACACTGTGATTATGAAAAGAGGAAATATTTTAAAATATATATTTATATTTATATTTTAATCAACCAGCATAAAATCCCCAGCTTAGTCCTCAATGACAGCAACATCTTAAAACAGCGTTATGGCTCCAATATTAGAGCAGAAGTGTATGAAATATTTACATTAAAAAAACATCCTATAATGATATCATGTCAGGTCCTAAGCTTCTTAAGAGGTCATGTCAATGGAATGAATGTGGTTCCAGCTTTTGAAGAAAGCTGTAAATGCTTTCCCAGAATGACTTGGGATGAAAAGGAATCACTCAGAACTCTGCCCAGGTTTGTGTTAAAGGTTCACAACATGGGTAAACCCAAATTTCAGCTTAGTAATGAAAACCCAAACCAGAAAAGTTTCAGGTGGTTACTGTTTCTTAACAAAGGTGCACCCAGCTCCTTCTAGCTACAGGCACACCTCGGTTAGCTGAACAGAGCTGGTCCTTTATCTCACTGGTAAACGGCACTTTGTCTGAAGCCAAAGTTGGTATTCCTGGGCTTGTTTTGTATGTGGCCAGAGATTGCTACATAAACTCAGTGCCAAGTTTCAGCCTAATTTAAACTAAAATGTAAAAGCCCCAGATAACAGGGTGGGAAAGAGATCTTTTCCTTGAACATATACAAAAGCATATTGATATGCGAATTGGAGCCATAAAAATATTTTTGAAGCTAATGTTTTCCACATGTTCTGTAGATACCCACCCAAATAAAATAGGTTTCTACTCTGTTTCCACCCCGAAAATGGTAGACCTTTCCCTGGAAAATCTCTGCTTTCTTCATTACATTTTCCTGTTCTCTATTAAAATGGTTAATTGATTTTTAAAATATTTATGATGTTTTAATAAACTTGAGCCAACTCCTTTTTTTTCCTTCCTTTTTAAAGAACCAAAGTTTGTTGGCTCATACATGATTCCCGACAATGAAGACCGGGATGATAACAAAGTCTATTTCTTCTTTACTGAAAAAGCGTTAGAGGCAGAGACAGGCGCTCATGCCATTTATGCCAGAGTTGGACGAGTGTGTGTGGTGAGATTCTTTTGTCCTGATCCTCTAGTAGAACAACTTACTGTGTGCTCACTTTTTCATACATTCTCCCACCTTCAAATGTACCATCAGTTAGTATTGGGGGTGGAGGGGAAGGGCGTCAGATGGGTCTGAACAAAAATCCCGCATCTAACCATCCTCCAACTTTTGGGAAATTCAAAATCCTAACCCACATTTGGGCTGGAAGCTGAACCTCCTCATCCAAACACTATTGCACTCTTTAGTGAGGATGTTCAAAATCCAGACATGGATCCAAGTTTTGTGGTTTAAGCCCATCTTTAGTTCTTTTGCAGTTAAGTGACACAGTTTGGTAATAATAATAATGATATTTAGCACTCAATGCTCACACAGCATTTCCCCAGCCAGATTCTATCCTGCATCAGAGCTCTCCTCGGAACAAGGGGTGGATGACGAATAACTGGCTGTGTGAGGGGTTGGCTCCAGCCCCAAACCCACTTACAGCTGCTGCCAGGCCATTCTAAGTAACACAATGCTTTATGGTCCCTACATACATGGGAGGATATGGGAGCTCAGCCACATGCTCCCAGCACATACCTTCCTGGCCCCAACATGCCACCTACATCAGGGATTGGAGGAACAGTATTCACAGGGCTCCCTGTGGATACCAACAAGGAGCTCTCCTTGGATTAGAATATTCTGCTGCTCATTTGCAGCCGGTTTCTAGCCTCTTCGCATGAATAGCGAAAATGAGCCAGATCGCAATAGATCCAGTCTTACATGTGGAGAGGACCTTTTAAATATGAACTAATTAATCCTTGCAATACCACTGTGAGCTAGTAAGCAGCATAATCCCCATTTTACCTATGAGGAAAAGAGGTGAAATGATTTGACATGGTCACACAGCAAGTCAGTAGCAGAGCCAGGACTAGACTGCAGATTTCTCAGTGTCTAATCTGCCTTTGAAGGCAGCCACATTCATTCTTCATAACTAAAGGAAGACTGATGGATGTACAGAGATGTACAAATGGAACAACATGCAAAACTACTTTCTTAGCAGGAGACACAGGATGTTACACTTAGCCTCCAGCAAACGGCTTGTTAAAATTTCTTATGCAGCCCCTAGTTAAAAGAGAGTCAAGTATAGGAAACATCCTAAATAGGGATGGTATCAAACTGAAACCCAGATTCTCAACATCACCAATGCTTGGCATCCAGAAGCCCATGTCCCCTCTCAAGGCTGAGAAATGACACTGCCCCTGGGCGGGCCGGGTTGGAAGGTGGGGACTGAGTGTCTGGCAGGTGAGGCACTGGGGCCAGCAGCCGCAGTGAGGATAGTTCGACTGGGATTGACGAGAAATTTCTGGGGGCTCCCCAATATAGGTCTTGGGACATATTTGCAGGACACTGTGTGGAAGGTTGCAGTGAATTAGCCCTGTCTGTAACTGTTCCATAGACAGATTTGGGGTTTCTGTCTCCAAGTCTGTTGATGCAGCACTGCACTCAGTTCATATAAAAATATACAGTCAGCTAAAATGTTTGGACTATTGAGTTAACAGACTGTAGAAATAAATGTGAAGGGTTTACAACAGCTGGACAGGTAAAACTAGTTGCAGCCCTGGTATTTAATTAAAAATTCTTACAAACCCACAGCTTTTAATGAGAAATTGAATAAATCTCTACAGTTTTACTAGAGACTGACTCCAAAATAATAACACAAGTGGAATAATAGAAATGTGGTTTGAAATTGTATGCTTCAGACATTGAAAGGCATGATGAAAGCGCAATTCAACATAGAGTATTGTTCTTCTAGATGCATTCCTCTAAATTACATTTATTATTTGTTTCTCTCTCCACACAGAATGATATGGGAGGACAGCGAATGTTGGTGAATAAATGGAGCACTTTCCTCAAAACCAGACTGATCTGCTCTGTGCCAGGAATGAATGGAATCGATACACATTTCGATGAATTAGGTAAATATCTTGGACAGAAATAAAGTTACACCACATTGTACAGAATGTGAACTTCCCTGCTAATCCCTTTTTACCCTTAATATAGGACATGGATCATTAACAGGAAGTGACTACTAATCTTTGAATTACAACAAATATATATATACCATATATTTCTAATACATATATTTCAATACATATGTTCCTTATATTTCAATATATATTATAATATATAAAATGGATTTGCAGAGCAGGCTATCTTCCATTACACTTGTATTTATTTATATCATGTTTTTAAAAGCTGTGTGAAATTAAGTCGTGTTTATCGAGAAATAACTTTACACTGTTAACAAGCAGTCAACTCTATGTCCTTTGGGACTGGGAAAAGTAGGTGAGCTATAAATAACATTGTATTTTCATTTTTACAGAGGATGTGTTTTTGCTACAAACTCGGGATAACAAAAATCCAGTGATATTTGGACTCTTTAACACTACAAGGTAACCAGCTAGGAAATATCACAGTAATAGAGGCATATTTGACCAGTCTATAATTAAGGAAGATGTCAGTTATGTGATAAATATCATATAGCTGATACACATTGTATAACTGATCAATTTAATTCCGCTTCACTTAGAGCCTAATCCAGAGGTCGGCAACCTTCAGCACGTGGCTCGTCAGGATAATCCGCTGGTGGGCCATGAGACATTTTGTTTATGTTGACCATCCTCAGGCATGGCCCCCTGCATCTCCCAGTGGCCATAGTTCGCCGTTCCCGGCCACTGGGAGCTGCGGGAGGGCATGCGTGCGGACAGTCAACGTAAACAAGATGTCTCGCGGCCCGCCAGAGGATTACCCTGATTGGCCGCATGCCAAAGGTTGCCGACCCCTGGCCTAATCTATTGTCCACTGAAGTCAATAGAAGGACTCAGATTGACTTTAGGTGGTGGTGTATCATTCTCATAGGTCCTAATTCAGCAAGAAATTATACAAATGAATAGAGAAAGTCTATGAGTAGAAGGATGGTCTAGAGTTTAGGGGCCCTAGTCTAGAAGGTGGGAAACTGAGGTTCAGTTCCCTGTTCTTCCATGGACTTCTTGTGTGACTTTGAGCAAGTCACTTATCTCTGTGACTTAATTTTGCATCTGTAAAATAGAGATAATAGCACTTTTCTGCCACAAAGAGGTGTTGGGAGACTAAATACATTAAAAATTGTGAAGCATTCAGATACTATGGTAATGATGGAGGCCATGTTAGTACCTGAGATAAGGTAATCAGTCCCATTGATTTATGGAACCAATCACATATTTAAACATAGACATATTTTTAAAATATCTTGCTAAATCTAGATTTCATGAGTACTCATTATTAATGCATTCACCGGATATTACATTTATGTAATAAGTTCTATTAGTATGATTAATTCAACCACTAAACTGTACACTACAGTTACAATCTTTGCATTAACATCTTTGATTTTTATTTTATAGCAATATTTTTAGAGGATATGCTATATGTGTCTATCATATAGCTAGCATCCGAGCAGCCTTCAATGGACCTTACGCTCATAAAGAAGGACCTGAATACCATTGGTCTCTGTATGAAGGAAAAGTACCTTACCCCAGGCCTGGTTCGGTAGGTCCAAGAGAAACCCTATTTCCTATTGTGATGTCAGTCTAATTCAAGTTGGGAAGCAAATAAAATAAACAGGTCATGATGGACAAATATCATAATGTCCAGAATTGTGATAATGAGTATTTGAAATCAATATGATGCTATTGAAAATGGATGTAATGACTCTAGCAATACATTATTAAGACTATCAACAATATATTTTACTCAAAGTAAAACAATGACAGTTAGATCCCTAGGGGCTCAGAGGGCTTTGGATTAGACCCTAGTTATCACCTCATGACTCTGTCTACAAAGATTACATGTTTTGGTGGTTTTGGGGGCAAAAAATACATGGAAGTGGTAATTGACTTTTTTGCAATATCTCCAATTTTTTCTGGTTTTAGTAGTTTGGGAATAGCATAAAACCAGGCTTTCCCAAGGTATTTCACTATCTGTTTTCTGGTCCCTGCCAGGACCAGGATATGCAGTGGAATAGGAAAATGTTAGAGCAAAAAAAGCATAGAAATGTAGTACTGAATCATAGAATCATAGAATATCAGGGTTGGGAGGGACCTCAGGAGGTCATCTAGTCCAACCCCCTGCTCAAAGCAGGACTGAAAGGGACCTGGATAGGTCATCTAGTCCAGCCCCCTGTACTGAGGCAGGACTAAGTATTATCTAGACAATCCCTGAGAGGTGTTTGTCTAACCTGTTCTTAAAAACCTCCAATGACGGATATTCCTCAGCCTCCCAAGTAATTTGTTCCACTGCTTAACCACCCTAACAATTAAGAAACGTTTTCTAATGTCGAACCTGACTCTCTTTTCTTGCAATTTAAGCCCATTAATATCACGTCCCCCTCAGTCTTCACTTCTCCAGATTAAACAAACCCAATTGTTTCAATCTTTCCTCACAGGTCATGTTTTCTAGACCTTTAATCATTTTTGTTGCTCTCCTCCGGACTCTCTGTAATTTGTCCACATCTTTCCTGAAGTGTGATGCTCAGAACTGGACACAGTACTCCAGCTGAGGCCTTATCAGTGCTGAGTAGAATGAAATAATTATTTCTTGTTTCTTGCTTAAAACTCACCTGCTAATACATCCCAGAATTATGTCTGCTTTTTTTGCAACGGTTTTACATTGTTTACTTATATATAGTTTGTGATCCACTATAACCCTCAAATCCTTTTCTGCAATACTCCTTCCTAGGCAGTCATTTCCGATTTTTTATTTGTACAATTGATTATTCCTTCCTAAGTGTACTTTGCATTTGTCCTTATTGAATTTCCTCCTATTTAATTCAGACCATTTCTCCACTTTGTCAAGATCATTTTGAATTCTAATCTTGTTTTCCAAACCGCTTGCAATCCCTCCTTGGTACCATCCGCAAACTTTATCAACATACTCTCTATGCCATTGTCCGAATCATTTATGAAGATATTGAATAGAACCAGAGGCAGGTCAGATCCCTGAGTGACCCCACTTGATATGCCCTTCCATCTTGACTGTGAACCACTGATAACGACTCTCTAAGTATAGTTTTCCAACCAGTTGTGCACCCACTTTATAGTAGAATCATCTAGGCTATATAAAATGTTAAATCGAGAAAAGTTAATCCACTGTTTTGAACCTTACTTCAAAGTTCTCGTTCAGTTTGATGCAGGGTTTGTCAAAGGATCAAATGGTTCTTGATTCCAATAATATAGGCCAATGCTCAGACTAGAAATAAGGTGCAGATTTTTAACAGTAAGGGTAATTAATCATTTGAACCATTTACTTAGGGATATGGTGGATTCTCCATCAATTTAAGTTTTAAAATCAGGATTGGGTGTCTTTCCAAAAGATACGCTGTAGCTCAACCAGAATTTATTTTTGATGCAGAGATTACTGGGGTGAAATCCCATAGCTTCTGTTATGCAGAAGGTCAAACCAGACTAGCACAATGGTCCCTTCTGGCCTTAATATGTATGGCTATGTACCATGGTGCCAGGACCCTACAGATGGATGGATAGATTTGATCTGAACCAGTTCCCACTTTCTATCCCTTCTTCTGAGCATCCTGCTTTCCATTCCATTTGCCAATTTTACAAACATGATGAAAGGAAATAAAGATTTTTTTTACAAATTTGCAAAGTACAGAGCTGCAAGAAGAATATAAACATGCTTCTTTCTCGACTTTGTTATGACTTTTCCCAGAAATGGATCTTAGTCCCAATGCACACTAAGTGAAAAGGAAACCCTGGGGCATACTCTGCAAATACAATAGAGCTGGCCTTTTTCCCATGGCATATTTTGCCAGTATACAGGAGCTGGCATCTGCACAGTTGTTTGTGCGTGGCATATAAGTTTTTATTTGGTGTATTGCCAGATTTCTGATGGGGATGACTTACACATTCCTTGCATAGAAAGAGGGGAAGAATGTCTATGATGATGCTTCTTCACAGGCATGGAGCAGCATCCCTCTCTCAGGCTCCCTCTGTCTGTCTGTCTCTCATTTTCGATGTCTCTAAGGCTCCCATCACTATGGGATCTAAACACCACTATTCTTGGTGGCGGGCTTCGGAGCTTTTAAATAGGTTCTCAGCACATTCACATTCCCTGGATATCAATGGTAGCCGAGGGTACACAGTGCCTCCCAAGAGTTTGTCAGCACCTCACAGGATCGGGCCCAGGGTCAAGAAGGCCTGATTCTCCTCTCACTTCCTCTGATGTAAATCAAGAGTAACTGTGTTGAAGTCAATGGAATTGAACCATGGTGTGAATGAGAGGAGAATCAGACCCCAGATTTTTTCCTCTCCCCATACGGCTCCTTCCCCACAGTTGTCTTGTGTAACTAATTAGCTGTAGAAGGTATTATTACCAGCTGCAATTTTGTTAGGCTCAACAAGCCTTTCCTGTAAAATGTCAGCCTCATGCAGATTTTTGGCTGTGTGAGGCCCATTTACATATGTAACCTGTTTAGCTAAAACACACATGCTGCTTTGAAATGTCACCCCGTTATCTTCTAATTGGCTAAGGGTTTGTTCTCCTGAGTTTACCAGTAGAGTAAACAGTTTGCTGGTTCATTACTCATGGTATTGCTTTTGCTTTGCTATCTGAATCAGTATTAAGCTTTATACTAAAAGCAATCATATGCAAAAATAAACTTTGTGTGCAATCCATTTATCATAGAATCACAGAAATGAGAGGTAGAAAGGCCGATTAGATTATCTAGTCCATACCAATGCAGCCTTGTTCCCTATAGTATAATCTCAAATTCACCATCCGGTCTCATTTAAAATTACTGTTGGTTTCTGCTGCTTCTTTTGGGGTAGGAGTCACAAGCCAAAGTACAATAGAATATGTTCCCCTAAAGAGAATATCTGGGATTTGAACACTGTAAATGAGATTTATACCATCTTGATGTCACAGGGCTTTTTGTTCCTTTGTTGATGTGGGGACAAACTTTAGCTATTGGTGTTGAGTCAGGATAAAAAGACTGGGAAGTAAAATGCCTAATTTTCAGCCAGGTGGTGGAAGGAAACTGAAGTAATCATCTCCAAATTTAACACTTTCCATGAGACCGCTATGCCAGTTAATTATCTGACAAAATAAGAGGAAGTGAGGTTGCACCGTAAACAGATTGCAGAATGGTTGATTATTTTACAAAGATTAGATTCTTCTCAACTATTCTGAAAGTCTGTATTCATTCCTCTTTCAGGCAGCAAAACCCTCATATCCCAGAGCAAGGACTGAGTAAAACTGAATGAGGATTTCCACATTAGTCTCTACATTTCTGTTAGGAAATCTTTTAAAACAAATCTGAATGTCTGAGTTTTCTTTTTTTCTGAGCAAGTCACTAGCACTGAGCCATTAAATGGAACTTTCTAGTAAGAAGGACAAAATACTGTGCTAAATCCTCAGCTACACGGGAACCAAATTCAGCCCAGTTGATGGGGAGACAGGCGAAGGAGCTGTGTGCCATTCCAGCTTGACACCCATATCATGCCCCTCTTCTTCGTAGCACCTAGAGGCCCCAACCAAGATCAGGGCACCATTGTGCTGTCATCATCATCACCAAAGGGACATTGCCAATTTGCAGATTCAGTGCCACCTGCATCAATCTCTGGCAAGGTGCTTACGGTAGTCTAGCTGTATATTCAGTTTATGTCCATCCCTGGCAATCTTATCGCACCACCCAAGCTTTTGGCAACCATGTGATTGTTGGACATGTAGTAGCATTCCTTGGTATGCATGCTTTGGAATTTGTTGGTCTTCCATTCTAATAATATGTTTATATTAAGAAAGTCATCTAAACCAAATCAATGCTGATGGAGGGGTTTGACTTTGAATATCCTCATTTCTAATCTTCTCTTGCCACTTGATATGGAGCAGCTGACGAAGATGATGGGAATCAAAAATATCAATCTGGGGTTCTTCAGCCTTCCTCAGTGCACATGTTTCATTGCCATACAATAAAGTTGGCAGCAAGCGAAGCAAGCTGAAGGCCCTGAAACAAGGCAGGAGCTGCTGTTCTATGCATGTCTACATCTTTTGAGCATCCTCCAGCCCTGTCTGTGACTCTGCCCACGTATTTGACAGTTTCCAGCTGTTCAGTGTCCCATCTGGACAGGTTAATACTGAGCTGGCTATAATCTAGAGCTGGAGGATGCCAGGGACTTGGTTTTATCTATTTTGACCAATGTGTACTGCTTTTTGCTCTACCAGATTGGACATCAGCTGCAGCAATTCCCCAACTGAGCGAACAAGACAATGTCATTGGTGTATTTGAGATCTCAAAATAGAATGATCTTCAGGTGAATGCCATGAATGGCTGCCTCCTCAAGCTTATCCATCAACCAGTCAATACTGATGTTGAACAATGGTGACATAATGCAGCCTTGCTGAACTCCCATAGAGATAGGAAACAATGCCATGTATCTGTCATTGACTCAGGCACAGATTTCAATTCCATTAGAGCTCTTCTATCAATGACACTCTCTTCCCAGGGACTCTGAGTCGCTCCATTGCGCTAGAAACTATGCAAACAGAGAGTAAGGGTCAGTCCCTGGACCTTAAGAGCTTAACAGTTTAAATAGAGAAGATAGACAAAGGGTGGGAGCAGAAAGAGAGGGACAGAGAGGTCAAAGTCACTCAGCATGTGCGTGGCAGAGCCTGAGTCCCAGTTCACTGAATCGTGTTGCCTTCCTGTGCTCAAGAGTGTTATGGGACCTGGATCAGCTGGCTATGCTAGCTTTATGCTAGCTGAAGATTCAGCCATTCTTGACTGAGATTTAGGGCAGCAGTAGGGTCATTTAGTGCTGCTTCAGTAGCACAAAGAGACCTTTGCGTGGACCAGGCACTGGCTCTCTGAGTTTGTATGTGGGGACCAGACTGTCAGGAGTGGCATGTTGGTGGTGCCGCTTCTTGGAAAGATGTTGGTTGCATTGATCCCAGTGCCTTCTCCATGTTTAGTTAATTCTGAGAGCAACAGTGACAAAAGAAAGCGACAAACCTTGCTCACCTCTGTGAATCAACTTCTATCGATGTTGGCAGTTGGATGAGACTAGGTGGAGTCTATAAATTGGGGGAGAAGAGCAGTTTTAAATCACACAAACCCAGAGCTCACATATTTGGTAGAACTAGACTGGTTCTGGCAGACTCTACAGTCTGTATCTGCTGGAAGTATTACTTTGGTCATGTGTGTAATCAGGCTACTATTCCGTTGTCACATCTAGTGTATTTTTACTGTGGTGCTTCTGAAAACAACACCAGCTTCCTCAGAAATGGTGTTGAAGGGAAACTTTAGAGGCAGCTGCATCTACCAGTTCCTTTCTAGAGTGCCTTACTGCTTTTAATTCAAAAATAAAAGCCTGCAAAGGATCGTATTTATTAAATCTCTCTTGAGTTGGAACTTTGCAATGGAACTTGGCAGTGCTACTCGATATGCTGTGCAGTCCAGCGAAAGCGGAGGTTCAGCTTCTCTGAAAACCCCAAACCCTTTCCCTTTATTACAAACAGCTGGTGAAACTCCATCCTTAGGCTGATTAGACAATTACTTCAAAGTCAACACTGAGCATTCATGGAGCCAACCCCCAAAAGTGGAAACAAACTTCTCCCCCTTTGACAAGTGCAGGAGCTTGTTATTGTCAATTATAGTTGGCTGCAAGTTTAAAATGACCATTTCCAGTAAACATTAAGAGGATTTTATTTCATTTTATTGATTGAAAATCCAATTTAAGTAGGGAGAGCCTGCTACTGTGGCTTTGCTTGAAATGCTTCTGAAAACCACACTGCCATGCGGAGATTGGGAGGAAGTGAATGTTACTGAAATATTTCCAGCTTGCTCATAAACGCTTTCAATTAGAGATCATGAGGCAAATTTGAAATGAAGAATCTATGTTAAGTTAGGGGACATTATCCTAGTCTTTACATAATATTTAAAAATTAACTTTTATGGATAATGCCACAGTTTAGCCCTATAATTAAATTTAACCCAATCAGTCAATTCGCTCCAATCACTGATTTACCGTGTATTTGCTTTGCAAAATGGTAGACTGATCAAGGCAAACATTGGTATTTCAGGCTAACCTGTGATATATAATACTGTCATTATGAGGTAGAAATGAGAATTAAATGCAATACCACTAAGCGTCCTGAGATCAAGAATTACTGCTGGTGCGGTGGGATTCATTTTTTAAATGTGCTTAATTTCCTATTATGGTACGTTCTGCAATCAAAGTAAAATAAACTATAGATTGATACCAAATGTTGCAGTTTTGCTCATTTTACATGGCTGGTTGTACTGAGTAGGAAACTTCTTTCTCCCTACTGTCTTATGATTAATGAAAAAAAGCCAAGAACCATTCTGATAACATTTTAAATGAAAATGGAGGGGAAAAGAGGCACTACACTTTTTGTGAAAAACTAAAAATGTTGATGATGTAAATTTTTCATCAAAAAATCTTTTTACAAAAAAAAAAGCCATTTTCCCAATAAAATAAAGATCTCTGGGTATGCCTGAGCATGGGCTAGCCTACCCGAGCTATTTGAATCCAGCTAACTCGGTAACAACTGCATTGAAGACAGCTCAGCACAGTCAGTAGAAGCCCAGCATGGATCCTGGGGATATATTCGGCTCACTAGCCTGCAGAGTCTGAAGCCTGTGCTGCATTGTTTCTGCTGTTGTTACCCATGTTAGCTGGATTCATGCTAGCCCAGGTAGGCTAGCCTGTGCCCAGCTTTTGCTGTGTAGATATATCCTATGTCTGAAAAAAACCTGATCAGCTCTACTGCTAATGTATTAGAGACCTGGAGCTAATTTATTTCTGTAATACGTTATGAGAGGCCTTAACACTGGTTAGAAAACTCCCTTTATGTAAGTGTATCTGTGCATGCATACATATTTATATATACACACACCTATGTGTGTATATATGTACATGTGTGTGCTATATGTGTGTACACACATAGATACATACATACATACATACTGTGGTCAAATTCAAGCTCTCATTGTAATTAAAAGCAGAATCTGGTTCTCTGTATACATTTGGGTCCAAACCAGAATGCTTTTTTCCTGAATAAGAACTAAATAAACGCCTATTGACTTCAACGAGAATTCTGTTTGAGCAAAGACTCAGCCCACTTGCAGATCTTTGCCCCTGATTACTTCTCATTGCTAGTCACCCACTGCTCTACTGCTCAGACTTTGCCCTCCAGCAGTTCCATCTGCTTTCATGCCCCCTTTATTCCCTAATCCCTCAAACATCCATGTCTTCTCTTCTCCTGGGAACTGTGGAGAGTCAGCATCCTTGAGAATAAGGCCTTTATCATATATCATCTATGCCAGCATTAAAAAAAATCCATGCGTATAACCAACCTATCACATGTTTTTGCAGTGTGCCAGCAAAGTCAATGGCGGTCTGTATGGTTCCACCAAAGACTATCCTGACGAAGCTGTCCGTTTTGCAAGGAGCCATCCACTGATGTATCAGCCCATCAAACCTGTCCATAAGAGGCCAATACTTGTGAAAACCGATGGCAAGTACAAACTAAAACAAATAGCGGTGGATAGAGTGGAAGCTGAAGATGGGCAATATGATGTCTTGTTTATTGGCACAGGTAAATAAAAAAGATGGCATCTTATCTTTTTTTCTCCCAATTTCAACAAATCTATGACACCTCTCCCAGATTAAGCTCTTTCTGTTTGAAAGGCATCAAGGTGAAACCACAATCCTAATAAATAATCATACTCGACATTTCCATAGCACGTTTTATCCGCAGAGCACCAAATGCAAGGAGAGATTACAAGTCTCCCATTTCACCTCTGGAGAATCTGAGGCAGCGATTTATCCAAGGTCATTGAGCAGACAAGTGGCAGAAATAAAAATAAAAAGGGCTGGAAAAGAAGGATTAAAAACTGGGGCCTAGGTTTTTAAGAATGGGAGCCTAAAATACAGCTCCTGCAAAGGGACCTGAATTTTCAAAAGTGCAACTCCCACTGATCACAGTTCAGTGCCACGCCTGAGACCCAGATTCAGGAGAAATTAAAATAAGTGGTCTGATTTTCAAAAAAGTCAGTGCAAGCTGCTGGCTTTATTACTGGGCACCACAAGTCGGGCGGCTGGTGTTAAACAGAAACAGTCCGTTTTTAGACCTACACTGTGATGCCATACCAGGAACTTGTCATTGGAAGACGGGGTTGCCCCATCCTGCAATTCAAAAATAAGCTGCCAAAAGTTTGAGAGTTTTGCTAAGTTTTCAGACATTCCTAATACATTTTGATTTCTCAAAATACCTTTTTTTTTTAGCACCCATAAAACAACTTTGGAAAAGGTCAAATATGTCACAAGCTTTCATATTTCGAAGTCTGGGCAGGCCCACAGAATGGTAACATCCTTTAATGCCTAACTGTTCTTCGGAACTTAAGAAAATGGAAATAAGACCTGGAAATAGACTTGAATCTTTGCAATATTGAACTTGTCTGGAAATGATTTAAAGATTCATACCTCTAAATTTTATCATAGCAACAGGGATTACTTGACACAGGCACTAATGGCCAGTTTGCCAAAAAAAAAAGCATTTAGTGCAAGCTATCTTTTAACTCATGAAATTTAGATGGAAACCACATTTCACTGTTCAAAGGATACAAAAGAAGTGTACTTGTAGAATAGCAGGGCATGCTTTAAATTAATATTGTGTTCTAAACTTTAAAATTTTGATTCCAATATGTGGTGAGATTAATCACATGCCATAGTCCTTGTCATGTATGCTTCTATGCTGGATTTCATAATGTTGACTGTATATTTTATGCTTTACACTTGTATATATAGTAAAACTTGCATGTTCAGAAAAGCAAATAATGTCCCTGATCAAGCAAAAGCAAAGATGTAGCCAGCAGAGCCACTCACCATAGTTAAGTATGTGCTTAAGTGCTCTGCTGGACTGGTCCCTAACTGCAGCTTATTCTTCTCTTCATAATTTGTTCTTAGGCGACAATTTCCAGCCTAGCAATCTTGGGTTCAGCAACTTTGAACCCAATCATGCAGTCTTTACTCTGGCAAAAAATTCAGGGGTGCCGTTGGTATTATTTTGCAGGAAAGGGTCAATCTTCCTCTATCTGGATCCAACACCTGTAGTGTTCATGTGGTCTAACTATGAATGGAGTAGTTTGAATGGCTTATCAAAGAGGAAGTCTAAACTTCAGGGATAACGTTCCACAACATGCTTGTCAGCAGGATTCACAGAGGGACTTAGTTATGAAAATCTGAGCTCCGGACAGTAATTCCCTTTAACTGTTCCCTCAAAAAAATGGACCTCTTTGATCCATTTTTTTCTTTGAGGAGGGGTGTTGGAGCCTACTTGAATGGCTCCTTTTTATGTACATCTCTTTTATCTCTCCCTGAACTTTTTTTTCCCCCTGGTGCCTTTCTGGTTAATTTTGTTCTCCTGTAAATCAGAGATGAGTGACAATAACAGGAGACAGGAAGCAGCAATTGCCACTGATGATGACAAACTCACAGCCTCGGGAAAATAAGGGATCTTTAATAACAGGCAGCAATACAAAAATGAAGCAGAGGGAGACCAACAGTTATTCCAATGTGTTAATTTATTGTAACACAACTGCAGTGAGAGGCAGTATTGTCTAGTGGATTGACCACGGAACCGAGAGACAGAGCAACCTCAACTGTGTTCCTGACTCTGCTCTTTCTTGCTGGGTGGCCTTGATCAAGTGACTTAACCCTTAAAGATCTCAGGCCCAAATCCTCAAAGATATTTAGGCACCTAACTCCCATTGAAGTCAGTGGGAGTTAGGAACCTGAATACCTTTGAAGATTTAGGCCTCCATTTCCTGATTTGATATCACATGTATTTTTGTGTTCAAGATTCAAAACCAAAGTGGATAATAAAAGAACTAATAATATGCAATACATTTACAAGTTTGTTGGTTTTTATTCAATATCAGTTTAAAGAAGTTATTTTGATCTTCGTCAATTGGCAAATTAATATTACTACCAGTTATGACTTCTATAGTGTTTTCTATTTGCTTCCAGATAATGGGATTGTGTTGAAAGTCATTACAATTTACAACCAGGATACAGAATCAATGGAAGAAGTGATTCTTGAAGAGATGCAAGTATTCAAGGTATGATGCCCTGTGTAAGAAACATATATCCAACTGTCACAAATCTAAATTAAAATGCCGACAGTGTATCAATATGAGTGAAAATACAATATCTCTGTGCAGTGAAACTCTCTGATGAGACGCTAGTTTTTCAATAGGAAATTTTCATTATAAACAGAAGTGTAATGAACCGGAGTTGCACACTGAATACTGAAAGAGCTGAAATAAGTCAGGAATTTCACTCTATGGTTTAAATCACAGAAATGTAGAGCTGCAATGTTCTCAAGAAGTCATCTAGTCCATCGTCTCATGCGAAGGCAGGCCCAAGTAAAACTAGAGCATCCGTAGGAGGTGTTTGTCCAACCTGTTCTTAAAAACTTCTATTGATTGATTATCAGAGGGGTAGCTGTGTTAGTCTGGATCTGTAAAAAGCAACAGAGAGACCTGTGTCACATGCGTCTGACGAAGTGGGTATTCACCCACGAAAGCTTATGCTCCAATACATCTGTTAGTCTTAAAGGTGCCACAGGACTCTCTGTTGCTTTTTATTGATTGATTGGATTCCACAGCCTCCCTTGGTACCTATTCCAGCACCTAACTGCCCTTATAGTTAGAGAGTTTTTCCTAACATCTAACCTAAATCTCCCTTGCTGCAGATTAAGCCGATTGATTCTTGTCCTATCTTCAGTGGACATGGAGAACAATTGATTAAGGGCTCTTTATTACAGCCCTTAACATATGTGAAGATTATCAGATCCCCCTTCAGTCTTCTTTTCTCAAGGCTAAACATACTCATTTTTAAAAAAAGCTTTCCTCAGAGATCAGGTTTTCTAAACCACTTATCATTTTTGTTGGTCTTCTCTGGATTCTCCTATTTGTCCACATCTTTCTTAAAAATGTGATGCCCGAAACTGGACTCAGTACTCCAGCTGAGGCATCACCAAAGCAAAGTAGAGAGGGCAATTACCTCCTGGGTCTTACATATGATACTACTGTTAATGCACCGTAGAATTATATTAGCCTTTTTCACAGCTGCATCACATTGTTGGGTCATATTCAATTTGTGATCCGCTATAACCCCCAGATCTTTTTCTGCAGTACTACTGCCTAGACAGTTATTACTCATTTTGTATTTGTGCTTTTGAATTTTCCTTCCTAATTGTAGTACCTTGAACTTGTCTTTATTGAATTTCATCAACTCCAAATTGTAAAGGTCATTTAGTATTCTAATCCAGCCTTCCAAAATGCTTGCAACCCCTCCCAGTTTGGTGCCATCCAAAATTTTATAAGCATACTCCCCACTCCATTATCCAAACCATTAATGAAAATGTTGAATAGTTCTGGACCCAGGGCAGATCTCTGTGGGACCCCAATAGATAAGTCCTCCCAGTTTGACAGCAAACTATTTGAGCATGATTTTCCAACCAGTTGTGCAGTTTAATCTAGACCATATTTCTCTAATTTGCTTATGAGAATGTCTTATGTTCAAACAGATCCTGTAAGATTTTAGGCTAATTTATAGGTAGAAGACTAACTACGTGATTTTATCCCTCCCCCAAAAATAGTCAGTTACGCATCTAAATGGGTTAAATTGCAAGCATAACATTGCACCCAGGTTACTGGAGATTTAGTGAAGATCCAGCTAAAAACTGGGGCCCAGAAAGAGATTCAGTATATACTGTGGGCCAGATCTTGAGACCCTGCTTAGAAAAATTTCCTGTTGCACTCAATAAGAATTTTTCCTTAATAAAAATCACAGTTTTTTGGTGTGTAGCAAACTAGATATAATGAAATCCTATCCACAGAGTCACTACAGTCCTAGGACTACAGGGCTTGGACCAGTAAGTGGGACTAGTTCTCAGTGTAGTCCATGAGAACTCTGTTCTGCCAGTGTCACAGGAAGTCTGAGAAAAAGACAAAGGGGACAATGCCACAAGATGGAATGTCAGATAATTTAATCTTATCTATAGTCAGCCTGCCATCTATAAAGAACCCTCTGCTTATCATATTGAAGTGGGACAAAAGGGATCAGTGAAACCAGGACTTGACATTATGGTCAGCATGGGAACTGCCATGTTCCCATTGGGTTTGATATTGGTCCCTGAATTAAAAATATATGGTTTTAAAAAATCACTTTTTATAAAAATAATAGTTCTCAATTTCCTTCATTTCCTTCACTCTGACAAAGTGACCTAGAGAAAATGAGGGTACTTCACATGGTATAGAGAGGAGAGCCACATACCTTGAGTAAATACTAATACTCTTTCTATTAAATGTACAGTCGTCATAAACAAGGCATTTCTTTTGATTTCCGTGTAAAGCAAAGGACCAATCTCTTATTTTTTTCAGGTGCCAGTTCCTATTATTTCTATGGAAATATCTTCAAAGAGGGCAAGTATTTTTCTGTGTTTAAAATAACATGACTCTATAACTGAAATGTGGAAAAGATCTAAACTGTATAGAGCTGGGTACCATATATAAAGAGATCAGGTCAAGTAATATATGATAATGTTTTAATATAAACTCATAGTTAATCATGCTCTGCTTTTTATGAAACATTTAGGTTTTTCATTGCTGTATAAATCTGCGGGGTTCACATTAGCATCCATTTCAAAGCCAGTGAAAATCAATCTAATTCATGAGTTGCTGGCCTAGTAATCGCACAGGGAATAGCTTGAGACTATTCAGGGACTTTGTAACTGATAAATTTGAAGTGATTGAGCAAGGGAGCATGGGGATTTCCGTGTAAGGGAGGCTCCTTTGTACTCCCCACCTTCATATTCATTGGCCCCAGAGAGTGTTGGGCACAATTTAAATCGCAGTTTCTGAGTGCCCGCCAGAGAGGGTATGATTCAAGCTGTCTCCATGATGCTCCTAGCTCTTTCTCTCATAGGGAGCAAAAGACCCAGCTGGGAATCTCCATATCAGTCCAAGCTGGCCCCAGATCTTCATTTTAACTGAGGATGGCTGAATATTAGTTCAAATGACTGGTGTCAGCCTGGTCGAGGGCAGGAATTTGAAACTGAGTCCATGGCTTTCTGGGCCGGAAAGGGCCGAGCACCACAAAGGGCTGTTGGGGGAGACCCTTCTCTCACTGATAAGCAGAAATCTGGAGGGTTTGAACCAGATCAGGACCAACCCTCCCTCTCATGGGGCTACTAAATGTGGATGTGGGCGGCACAAAGGAGTCTCTCCTTGCCTGGAAATCTGCATGCTCCTGTGGCCAATAACTTTACACTGATCAGCAACAGATTTTTCCTTAGTCCCTGTTTCCCTAAAGTTATTCCCTGCTGTGATTATTGTGCCAGCAATTCATGAGTCAGACTGATCTTCCACTTGCTTTGATAATATGAACCCCACAGATCATAATGAAACAGAGCGTGATTAAGATGAGTTCACATTTAAATATCACACACTATTAGATGATCTCGCTTTTATATGCACTTATATGCATTTCACAATTTTGTCACATTGCATACACTCACGTGTGTATATATTATAGGTGATGCAGGTAGCAATGCCTATGGTTGCCCAGTACTTCCCAGTATAAGACCCTGTTTTCAGTTGCTTATAGTTTTGCCAAACTTTAACTGCTTTGGCTGAAATGTTCCATGCCAAGGTGTTTGCCTCGGGCTTTAGAGTTTCAGCAAAAATGGTTCAGCCATTTCTGAGTGTGAAATAAGGAGAAAATACATTGTTTCGCCCATGGTAACAAATTGGTTTGAAATTCTTTTTTAGAAGCTCTAGCATCTCATGTTTTGGAGCAGGGACATAAAATTGGGCACAGAGGTCACCCTAGCATCAGGGATGTGCCTTTTGCAGATCCCATGAAAAACACCCCAAAATGGCCACGTTATGAGCCTTTGAAAAAAATCTCAGTTCACACATGCTCAGTAGCGACTTGTTAGAGTTTGGCTGGTAATTCTCTGAAAATTCCACTGCACTGAGCATGCTTCAGCCCCATACAATATCCCACCCTGCAGAGCAAGAGAACCTGCTCCACCAGAGCTGCAGGACCTGAGCAGGTCTTTCCCTGCTATTGCTCCTCCGAGCGACTATGGTCCACTGTCATGCCGGGCACCAGAACTTCAAGCAGGAAGATAGTTTGTGAGTGTGTGTGCTCACTGTGCCACTCCCTACACACACCTTGCTGGCATCCCTCAGCAAGGAGAAGAAGGAAGAAGCAGCCTGACTTGAGTGCAGAGAGATGAGGTGCAAGGGGGAGAGAAGGAATAGGGGTTGCGGGGAGGGGAGATAGGAGATGAAGGTAGCTGTGGTCTCATCAGGAGCAGAGATCTGGAGAAAGGAATGGGTAGTAACAGGGGAGGGTGAGGAGATAGGAGCATATGTGGGGACAGGTTCAGGAGCAGAAGGGAGGAGGGGATAGGTGCATGAGGCAAAAAGGTTAAGAGCTGGCCAAGGGATAGGAGCAGAGGAGTGGGACTGAGGCAGGAGCTTGGAGCAGACCTGGGAGAGAGGCAAGAGGAAGTGGGGCAGGACCCAGGGCTAGGGGGAAGAGAAAATATAGGAACAGAGGTGGGGGGAATGGAGTAGAGGGGGGGATAGGAGCAGGAACTGAAGAGGGAAGGGGTGGGTAGAAACAGAGTTGGACAGGTATAGTGAGGAGAGAGACAGAAGGGTTTATAACCACTAGAACATACTCCCCTATGGAGCCGAGAACTGAACCCAGGAGTCCTGAGTCTCAGCATTCCTTTGCTGTCTCTCAAACAGCTGTGAAACACTCTGGCAAAGTTTGTCTCATCCCCATCGTGTGCTGGCCCGCAGAGATAATAACAGCGTAAATCTGCTGCCAGTTTTTCAATTGGCTCAAGCGCCAGAGCTCTGTGCTGGGACTTTATAGGTCCACATCCTGCTGATAACCCACAAGGGGATTTTTATGGTTCCACATGATGGAATTTCTGTCTTTCAGGTTGCTTTTTTAAACACTTAGAAAATTACACCCAGAAAAAACGACATTAAAATAATGTTAAGGTTCCAAAGTCAAGTTAGGAAATGCCAGAATTGAGCTTGCATGTCCAATCTTAATTCTGCCCTTTTCTGCATATGCATTATGTGCATCCTTTAATTATATGACCACATACAATTATATGACCTGCCTCATACAGTGCACAAGATAGCTCGCCAAGAGGGCAGAAGGGAATTAAGCTTGCATGGGCAACTGTAAAGCTGGCATTTTCTAAAGTTCAAGTGGCAAATGACCTTGTCTTTTCCTAGTAGATGCTCTGCCCATAACAGTGTGTGCTACATTTTCTACAGCAACAACTGTATGTTGGATCTGAGTCTGCCGTAGCACAAGTGAAGTTCCATCAGTGTGACATGTATGGCACAGCCTGCGCTGACTGCTGCCTAGCAAGAGATCCTTACTGTGCTTGGGATGGGATATCCTGTTCTAGATACTATCCCACAGGAATGCAGGCAAAGAGGTGAGAACTGTATTTTGCTTCAAAATCCTCTTTGCATAATAATTATCTAAAGAGTTCCTATTGCAACAGAAATGGTTTCCCTTCTCCCCCTCGTATAAATAACTTAACAATGATGTACTTTAGCTAATGATTTATTAACCCAGCCTTAGGGAATACTGAAGGATGTAAATGAACATGCTGACATGCACAGATGTTAAGAGCACACACTTCTTAAGAGCTAGACACACTGAGTGTTAAACAAATGTCTGATGTTCCCGAGGCTGCAGCTTGAAGACACGACTTCATTCTCTACAATATGCAATAATTTATTTGGATTGTATTATATGGTGAACTATACAATGCAACAGCCTATAAAAATAAAGAAAGCAAATATATTAACAGCCAAATATCATTGTAAGACATATTCAAACAGTGCCTAGCTCTCTATCAATATATTGTAATGATTATTACATAAGTCAGCAAAAGGGCATATTATTTATGATACAGTCCTTTCCATGATTTACTTTTAATTGCTACTTCTGCAAAAACATGCTCATATTTATTAGAACTACAACTTGGCCATTTTCAACAGGGTTACTTTGAATTAATGCAAAGATGTGTTCCTTTTGTACTGAGATGCTGCTGAAAAAACAGTGATGATAATTACTCCAGAGGCAGTTCATGATCTCTCCAAATCCACCAATGCTCTCTTAAAAAACAACACAGGTCTATGGTTGTGGGGTTTTTTGCTTCATCCACGATACCTCATGCTTGTCCTCCCATGACTCTGGAAGCTTGGTAGTCTCAAACCCATTGCTAACTGTAGCTAGGCAAAATGAATGTTTCTGTGATTTTTGAAAAGGTGATGGGAAGAGAATTGGGTAGCACAGTCTTTTGGATAGAATGCCTCATAGAAACCATACATGAGCAAGACAGCCAAAGATTCAGCTAAAGAAAGAATCTATCAGAGCATTTTGTCTTTGCAAGATCCAAGTTAAGCTAAGTAGGAATTCCATGACATGTCTACACATTGTATCAGATCCTCCTTGCATAACTCATGGAAGCAGTCCCAATGAAGTAAATGGAGACCACTCACTTGCCTAAAACGAGAAGAATCTGGCTCAGATTGATACAGTCCTGGAAAGTGCTGATGGAACAGATACATCATCCATTATATTCTGGGCCAGTAAGCATTGTTCCCTACAGTATAAGCAGGAATTGGATGATCATAATTATATTGCAAATTAGATACTCGTCTAATCAAGTAAATGCCCTGGAGATTCCTGATTAATCTATTTAACTAGGAACTGTGTGGTGCAGATAGCCTCATGCTGTCTTGCTAATGCACCTCAACAAGATTCTGGAGGGTCTGTCTCTGGAGAGAAGAGAGTAGTTCAATCTCTCCATTCACTCCTTGGCTTCTCTGCTGTTAAGAGCTAGCTATGGTAATGGGGGCTTTGTGATGTCCACTATTAACTGGACTTGAAACCACAAACTTACTTCACATGTGGGAGGTCACTGAACAGATAGTAACAACTTTGCTTTGCTATCCACCTGGTTCAGGGTGGAGAGACTGGGCCTGCTGGAAAAAGTAGGTCTCCATAGAGAGAATGGAGCCCCTCACCCTGCACCAACACCACCTTTCAATGCTTCTGGGTAAGATGCAGGTCTGTTGTGGCTGCCTGCATTCTGGACTCATGCAGATATGTTGATCGGCCCAGCACTCAACACCCCAGAAGATGTGTGTTTGAGTTAGGGTTAGCTATGTCTCTGTTCTCCAACTTCCCCCTGCCTTGTGGCTGGCGGGCTAATTTAGGGAGTAATCAAAGGCACAGCAAAAACTACCTGTAAACACTCATGCCCTAACACATCTGGAATGATTGGTTTCTTTCTGGCAGCCCCAATGACATCATGCCACTCTCCACCATTTTCATGCAGCACTCCCCTGCCTTGATTTGGTCCTAATGCTAGCCTAGCAGCTTGAATTTAGCCCTAATTGCATGGAAGTGAACACAATATATTTGGGTTGGGTTTGAAATCTTAAAATCAGTCATACTTAATAGTGCAAACTCAAGCAGAACCACGTCTGGGTAGTTAATGCCACCCCTCCTTTAGATCAGCTACTATCTCCTTTAAAACTTAATGAATGTAAGGCGTGAAATGTGTTTAGACAAACATGAAATAGAAAACCTGCAGGCTACTACATGTTGTTAAGTATGTTGCTAAAGAATGTCGTTACTGCTGCCAGGTTGTTTTGGCTGCTCAGTACTTCTGTTCTTGGAGCTCCAGTGCTATCAGCACTAGCAGAGAGTGCAGCCTGCTAATTCAGCAGACCTCAATGTTATCAAGAAAAAAGACCACAAGTATTGTTTGGTGACAAAGGCACTCAGCCAGGTTTATAGAGCTAAATGTCCTGGGTTCTAATCCCACAACCATGATAACTACATGGTAACTCCAATTCAACATTGTACTAGAGTGCAGAGTTGTTTTTAAGTTCATGCCTATGGAAAACACTTAAGCATGTGATTAACTGTAAGCAAGGGTTTAAGTCCTAAAATGGGATTCAGCGTATGTTTAAAGTTAAATTGATGTTTAAGTGATTTGTAGAATAAGGACCTAAGTGCTAACCCCAAAGTCAACATGGTATTAAATACTAAGATGAGTGAACATGAGTGGCTGGTACTAAATAAGGATATTGATATAATAGGCTTCACAGAAACCTGGTGGAATGATGACACTCAAGGGAACAAAATATATAGTAATGACAGAATAGATCATGCTGATGGGGGAGTGGCATTATATGTGAAAGAAAACATGGAATCCAATTTGTAACAATCTTACATGAATCAAACTGTACAATAGAATCTCTATAGATATAAATTCCATGACCAGAATGGTGATGGTGATTGAGAAATGCTCGGGGAGATTAGACAGGCTATAAAATAAAAAATCTCAGTAATAATGGGGGATTTCAACTATCCCCATATTCACTGGGTACATGTCACTTCAAGACAGGATGCACAAATAAAATTTCTAGACACCATTAATTTCTGCTTCTTAGAGCAGCTAGTCCTGGAACCCACTAAGGGAAAAGGCGATTCTTGATTTAGTCCTAAATAGAGCAACGGATCTGGTCGAAGAGGTGATTATAGCTGAATTTCTCAGTAATAGTGACCACAATATAACTAAATTTAACATCCTTGTTGTGGTGGGTCAGAAGGACACCAAAGAAGCCCACCACAGTAGTATTTAACTTCAGAAAGGGGAAACAACACAAAAATGAAGAAGCTAGTTAAATGGAAATTAAAAGGAACAGTCACAAGAGTGAAATGCCTGCAAGCTGCATAGACATTTTTTAAAAACATGATAATAGAGGCTCAAATTAAATGTATACCCAAGACATCCTTTAAAAATTGGAAGTAAAATCCTATTGAGGAAAATAGAAAGGAGCATAAAGTTTGGGATGTCAAGTATAAGAGTATAATTAGGCAGGCCCAAAGGATGCGAGGGAGATTCCTGCACCTGAACCATTCTTTTTAGGTGACAAATCTGAGGAACTGTCCCAGAGGGAGATGTCTGTAGAGGAGGTTTTGGAACAAATTGATAAATTGAACAGTAGTATGTCACGAGGGCTAGATGGTATTCACCCAAGTGTTCTGAAGGAATTCAAATATGAAATTGAAGAACTACTAACCGTGGTATGTAATTATGGCAGTGTATACCAAGCCTTTTGAGGCCCCTTGCTGGAGGCCTTATGGTCCTACCACATCCCCTCCCAGGAAAGGAGCATTGAAGGTGGGTCTTCCAGGATAGGCTAGAAAGACTTAAAGGAAGCAGCCAATTGGAGTGCAGCAGGCTTATATAAAAGGAGTTGCAGGGCCTGAACAGGTCAGTTACTGGCTGGGACCAGAGGGGCAAGAAAGAGTATTTGTTATTGGTCACAGGCAATCAAGAAGAGAATCAGAAGAAGGGCTCTAGTGGTACTTGCATGCAGTGAGAAGGAAGAGGATTTGAAAACTTCAGCCCTGAGGTCAGGGTGAAGAAAAGGGGGCTATGTGGGAACAGGCCCAGGGAATAACAGCAGCAAAGTGAAGGAAGCAGTACGTGGCTGTTGTATATAAGGTCCCTGGTCTGGGACCCAGAGTAGTGGACAGGCCCAGGTCCCCCCTCCAGCCAATGCTGGAGTGGCCTAAGCCCCGAAAAGGAGATATGACTAGTATAAAAGACCAAGAAAAGGGATCTAAAGGGGCCCAGAGACATGGCTGAAGACCCTGGTGAGGATTGACTTACAGTTCTGGTGGGACTCTAATGAGGGGATACGTTTCCTATGGAAGCCCAAGCAGAGGTCTGAACTTAAAGGAGCCCAAGAGGGTCAGAAGAGAGAAGGCATCCTCAGGAAGGAGAGGCTGAGTCCATCTTGAGCCAGGGAATTGGATGACTTTACTTCATATTTATTTTGGACTTGAATACCCAAGAAGGGGTTTATCCATTTTACAACAACGTGACTTGGCTGGAGGGCTGAGCCACTGAAGACCCACCTAATGAGGCCAACAACCTACAGGATAGCTACCATGATGCTTTTTTTTAAAAAGGCCCCAGAGGTGATCCTGGCAATTACAGACTAGTAAGCCTAACTTCAGTACCAGACAAATTGGTTGAAACTATAGTAAAGAACAGAATTATCAAACACATAAAAGAACACGATTTGTTGGGAAGGAGTCAACACAGCTTTTGTAAAGGAAAATCATGCCTCACCAATCTATTAGAATTGTTTGAGGAGGTCAACAAGCATGTGGACAAGGGTGATCCCATGGATAGTCTACTTGGACTTTCAGAAAGCTTTTGACAAGGTCCATCACCAAAGGCTCTTAAGCAAACTAAGCAGTTATGGGATAAGAGGGGAGGTCTTATCATGGATCAGTAATTGGTAAAAAGACAGCAAACGAGGAGTAGGAATAGATGGTCAGTTTTCACAATGGCAAGGTAAATAGCAATTTCCCCAGGGATTTATATTGGGACCACTGTTGTTCAAAATATTCATAAATGATCTGGAAATAGAGGTAAGCAGTGAGGTGGCGAAGTTTGCAGATGATACAAAATTACTCAAGATAGTTAAGTTCAAACTAGACTGCAAAGAGTTACATAGGGATACCACAAAACTAGGAGACTGGGCCACAAAATTCATTGTTGATAAATGCAGATTAATACACATGGGAAACATAATCCCAGCTATACATACAGAATGATGGGGTCTAAAGTAGCTGTTACCACTCAAGAAAGAGATCTTGAAGTCATCATGGATAGTTTTCTGAAAACATCTGCTCAATATTCAATGGCAGTAAAAAAGCTAACAGAATGTTAGGAACCATTAGGAAATGGATAGATAATAAGACAGAAAATATCATAATGCCACTATATAAATCCATGGTATATACCCACACCTTCAATCCTGTGTGCAGTTCTGGTTGCCCCATCTCAAAAAAAGATATATTAGAATTGGAAAAGGTACAGAGAAGGATAATTAAAATTATTAAGGCTGTGGAACAGCTTCCACATGAAGAAATACAGGGACTATTCAGCTTGGAAAGAAGGCATCTAAGCAAGGATATGACAGAAGTCTACAAAATCATGAATGGTGTGGAGAAAGTGAATAAGGAAGTGTTATTTAGTCCTTCACATAACACAAGAACCGGGGTCAACCAATGAAATGAATAGGCAGCAGGTTAAAACAAACAAAAGGAAGTACTTCTTCACACAGTGCACAGTCAACCTGTGGAACTCATTGACAGGGGACATTGTGAAGGCCAAAACTATAGCTGGATTCAAAAAAGAATTGCATAAGTTCATGGAGGATAGGTCCATCGATGGCTGTTAGCCAAGATGGTCAGGATGCAACCCCATGCTTCGAGTGTCCCTAGCCTCTGACTGTCAAATGCTGTGACTGGATGACAGAGGATGGATTACTTGATGATTGTCCTATTCTGTTAATTCCCTCTGAATCATCTTGCATTTGTCACCATCAGAAGACAAGATACTGGGTAGATGGACCATTGGTCTGACCCAGTATGGTCGTTCTTATGTTGTAACAATTGGTCTGATGAACTAAAACCAGTGTTTTATTTCATCAATTTCAAATTATTCTTGTTTTAACATGTTCATATTTTTTTTCTGAACCATTTTCCTAGCCTTTCTGTCAGGTTTCTCTTACCACAACTGTCACTCATAATAGCAAAATGTCACCAAACTTGAATGAGGCAACGAATAGAGGAAAGTGCTGCAGGATCATGACTTTCATTAGCCTATAGCCCATGCACTGATTATCGTGAGCCAGAGCACAATTCATGTCTACTGATATCCTAGTCAGCCAAAAAGAGGCCTCAGACAAGACTGATGGGGCTCATAAGACAAGTTTGCAGTCAAGGCCAATGTCTGAAACACTTTGTGTATTCACACCTAGGACTAGAGAATCCAAGTCTTTAAAAATGTCCCCCACTGCCCGGGGTCCTAAATATGCCTTGCTAGCGGACGCTTTATTCACCCTTCTCAGTCTCTTAACTGTGGATATCGAAAGGCGCAGCTGCCATCTTTATGTCCAAGTAAGAACCACCAGGGCAAGATGAAAAAGTCACGTGATTATGACAAAATTCCAGCTTTCATTTAATAAAAACAACATACGTTTCTATTCCTCATGACTGTGAAGAAAAACTTGAAAATGTAAACCAAGTATAATTAGTGGTGAGATGTCTTCCAAGAATCTGCAGAAAGGCTGGAACAATAGTTGATCTGCCCCATATATCTTAATGTGATGTTAATTCTGAGACCTACCAACAGCAGGTTCTTCCGTGTGTGGTGATAGGATGAGAACTCCTACCTAGATTCCATCATCATAAAGCAACCTCCCTAACACCTCCTCATCCCCACTTAAAATTTCAACACGTATGGTATTCCATTGGCCAGGTCCTCAGTTGGTATATAGCAGCAGAGCTCTAATGAATTCAGTGCACCTGTGCTGATTTACACCCACTGAGGATTTGGTCCCCTGTGTCCTGGTGGCAGGAAGAGCTGTGTTAATTACTGATATTATTTAAATAAGAACAAAGTCATTAGGCTTGGCTTATTTCTGCTATACATTGTATATAGTAGGTACACATTAATACAAAAATAATTGTGGTCTAGGAGGTTCACCATGTTGTCTGTTCCTTTTAATCAGCTGTTCAGCCTTGCATATGCAAGACAGATAGTTCTGTATAATTGTTCTTTATGCAAACACAGGAAAATTATCCTGAGTTCTAACTGTAAATTTTAGGACTCAAAATACAGCAACTTTCAAGGTGGTAAACTCAGCTTCCTGATGCTAGTTGCTAGGAAAGAAAGTTTTAATTTTATTTATCGTTATGGTCAGAGAACAAAATGTTCAAAATAATAGCATCATGCTTGTTGGTATCCATCGGAGAGTTAGGTATTTGCATTTATTTTCCATACTTTTGTAAATAACTTCTTTTCAAAAACCGAGAGAGTATTGTCTAGTGGTTGGAGCCAGGATTCCTGGGTTCTTGCCTCAGCTCTGCCAGTGACTCAATAGATAGGCTAGTTTCCCCTTTGGTAAAATGGGAATGATAATACCAATGATGTAGGCGCATTGGGAGGCTAAAGTAATGTTTGTAGAGTGTTTTAAGTTCCTCTGATGAGAGGAGTTATACAAGAGCTAAGAATTAAAAAAAAAACATCCGCACAGATTGTAAACTGTGAAAGACTCAAAAGAACTTTTCTGCTAAATAGTGTCGTGTGTGTGTGCGTGCGTGTGTAAAAGTTCAAAGCAATCTTGCAGCCAGTAAATTCAACCGCTTAGGAATTCCCCTGCCTATGGGAATGCTCAGTTACTGTTGAGTTGCTATAACAGCTTCTATCACAGGCCTTCTAGTAGGGTGACCAGACAGCAAATGTGAAAAATCGGAATGGGGGTGGGGGGGTAATAGGAGCCTATATAAGAAAAAGACCCAGAAATCGGGACTGTCCCTATAAAAATCAGGACATCTGGTCGCCCTACCCTTTAGGGCTCTTGGATACAGGGCATGGTTAAAGGAAGAGAATGTTTTCAAGATACAGCAGCTTTCATGCTGCTCCAGATTTTGCCAGGGATCAGAATGGTAAACACTTAAGAAAGCTTACAGCTGCCTCCAGTCTTCTTTCCCCTAAACTAGCACCGAATTGGTCCAGAGTATCTGGTTTCAGTATCTATAGACTGAGTCAAATGTACATAGCTGAGACTTTCCTTTAGACACATAAGACTTCTACAGACAGTCTCCTCCTTCAGGCATCTGCGCACCTTCAGTTTAAGTGGAGGAAAACAGTACTGATGTATGAACTTATTTCCACGCAGTGATAGTGCTGGCCAATATTTCAGCAGTAAGATCGAGTTCCCTGAATTTCTAGTGCATCCAACTTTAGTGTAAAAGGTCAACAGTCCAAAAGTTAAACGTATTTCTTAAAACAATTCCATTTTTTTCCCCCAGACGTTTCCGCAGGCAAGACGTTCGACATGGAAATGCAGCTCAGCAGTGCTTTGGCCAACAGCTCATTGGTAATCCACACACAGTACAGCAGAATGCTAGTGAATGCCTAGAGCAAACAGCATGGATTTGACACAGGGGAAACATCAAGGGCTGAGTCTGACCTCAGCTACACAGTTTTTATACTGATGTAACTCTCTTGATTTCAGTGGAATTACTCCTGATTTACACCCTTGACATTAGAAGCACACTGTAAGGACCAACATCCCAATGCAGGAAAGCTTTCCTTTTCAAGGCAGTGCTTAACCATGTACTGTGCTTAAGTCCCATTGGATTCAGTGAGACTTAGGAGCATGCTTAAGTGCTGTCCTAAATAGGGATGGACTTGCATTCATGCCTAAATGCTCTCCTGAACCACAGCGCAAATCCTGCAACGTGCTCAATGCCCTCACATCCCATTAATTTCAACCACTGCTACTGTGTGCAGTATAAAAACTTAGATAGGTAGCAGCTGCCAGGATGTGCTGAGATCCTTGCCAGATCAGGCCCAATAAATCTAAAGAAAAAGAATCAAAGATCCGGGGTTTCTCTGTGACAGATGTTTCTCCAGAGAATTTTTTGCTGAAATTGTATTTTTCTGCAGGATGGATTAGAATTTGAAAGGGAAATATTTCAAGATGAAATATTTGTTAAATTTGCCCTGGGTCATTTCATACCATCCATTTTCAGCAGGATAGCATAATATATTCCATGGGGATTTCTGCTAGAAAAAAATAGAGGGCATCTATGGCCCACTGTGACACTTAATTGCAAAACTGCATGCAATGAAGATTGTAGATTTGATTGCGAACTACACTAGAAACCTCACAATAGAGCATAGCAAATGAAAATAAAGAGAGAAAGAGAAATCGTAATGGTTATTAAGTCACAAAAACTGATCATGAGTTGGTATTGGGAAAATATTCTCCCTACACTCCACTCCTCTTATAGTGCTATAAGAAAATGAACTAGAAAGACTGCTGCCTTGTTCCACTATAGCATCTCCTTTGTCTGTTCTGCCATGTATTTCACTGTATATAGGAGCCTGCAACTGACTCTTGGTTAGTCACATTCAAATGAAATTTTTATTAACATTTGGGTGGCAAAGCTAGACACTTGTACTTTCTGTGCATGTGTTGTAGAGATCTGCAGTAGAACTGGGCTGGGAATGGTTTTTCCATCCCATGAATATTTTTGAGAGTTCTAAATGTTTTCCTGTCTTGAATTAAGGGGGGAAATGACATCTCAAAAATATTTGCAATCTGAAAAATTGTGTTTTTGTTTTGCATTTTGGATCAATTGAAACAGTTTGTTTTGATAATTTTGGAATGTTTTGTTTTGATTTTGATTCCCCCCCCCCCTTTAAACCTTCTTTCAGTCTAATTAGCCTTTATTTTGAAACACAAAGTTGCTTTGAACCAGAATTTTTTGTTTGAAAATGTTTAAATGAAACATTTTGACAATTGGAATCTTTTTCCTTGACAGAAAATTAATCAAACCCGACCTTGTTTCGTGAACAGTTTGGTTTTGATGAATCAACATTTTTAGTTAAAAAAGAAAAAAAAAGCCCATCATCAAAAAATTCCCAACCAGCTCTAAGCTGTACAAATTCTGGACACACCGTACAAAACAATTTAGATGTTCATGGGTTTTGAGGGTTTGATCATGTAACATGCTAAGAAATCTGGTCCCGATCCTGAAAAATATTTTATCCCATGCTTACTGTCAAGCATGTAAGTAGTCTTATTGGTGTCATTGACTTAAAATTAAACACATGCATACGTGCTTTGCCCAGCACTTTGCAGGGTCAAGCCTTATAGACACATGTACAATCACAATCACCCGTCATGCAGTACTTTGGCAGGCTACTATACCTTAGGGCTGGATCCTGTGAGATCCTAAGGTGATCCATGCCTTCCAATCCTCCTGTACAGAGTGGGAGCAGAGGGTGCTCCACAGTTCACAAGATAAGGCCAATAGTAGGTACTAAATTTCAATCACTACCTGGAGGACTCTGGATCAAATTCCATTCTAAAGGTGAACCTCAAAGGAGTCCTTAAAAAGCCCACAGGGAACGTGCTTAATGAAAAGGATAGCATTTATTTTAGTTACACAACTGGCAAATAAATAAGAATCTTACTTTCCTTCACAGGAGAAGCCCTGGAGAAGACTGAAGAACGGATAGTATATGGAATAGAGTACAACAGCACTCTTCTGGAATGTACCCCTAGAACTTTACAAGCTAAAGTGATCTGGTTTGTGCAGCGAGCCCACGAAGCCAGGAAGGAGGAGGTAATTTCCCATGTAATTCTAGTTATACCATATTTATAAAAAGGGTCTGTCATATTAGGGATCTTACAGGTAAATGAGCCTTCAGTGAAACAGCTGGTACCAGTTGGTGTAATTTACATAGCTTCATAGATTTTTAAGGGCAATTGGGAACATTATGATTATCTAGTCTGAGTTCCTGCATAAACAGGCCACGCCATTTTACTCAGTGATTCCTGCATCAATCCCGTAATTGATGGTCGAATGAGAGCATACGTTTTAGAGGAGCATCCATTGGCGGCTCTTGAGTCTTTCATTTGGGGAGGCTTACACGCACATGCCAGAAGCTCCCTAAAAGCGGGGGGACCACCAGCCCCTGGACCGTGGCCCCGCCCCCCAAGGCCCCATCTCTTCCCTTGAGCCCCCCCCACTCCTCTTCACCTCCTCCCCTAAGGCCCCCACACCTCTCCTCTTTGCCTCTTCCCCCAAAGCCCCCCCACCCACCCTCTCACTCACTCCTCTCCGCCTTTTCCCTCAAGGTCTGCCCCCACCCACCCACTGCTTGCTCCTCTCCCTCCAAGGCCCTCCCCCGCCCACTGGCCACTCGCTCCTCTCTGTGACAGAGAGGAGCAAGCAGGGGGTGGGGCAGGCTTCGGGGAAGAAGCTGAGTGGGCCCTGGGGCAGAGAACAGTTGGGGTAACAGTGACCCCCCCTCAATTCTGGGGAGCTTCACTTCCAGCACTCCAAAGGTGGTGGGCCAGCGTGCTTCCAAAGGGAGGTGACCCACGCCACATCCACAGCATTTGCCCTCCAGCATGGCCAGCCTTTTTTGGCAGGGCCGCCGGGGGGGGGGGCAAGTGGGGCAATTTGCCCCAGGCCCTGGACCCCGCAGGGGCCCCCATGAGTATGTCGGAGACTCCCCCCGCCTCCGTCTTCCCCCATCCCCCGGCGTCTCAGCCGGTAAGGGGGCGGGGCTGCGAGCTGCGGCCGAGCAGTGGGAACTCAGGCCCCGCTGGAAACACCACGCTGCTACAGCGCTGGACGCGGCGCACTGAGGCTCCAGGAGAGGGGATAAGCGGCATGTTAAGAGGCCGGGCACCCCCTCGACCCCATCCCCCACAGCCCTGACCCCCAGCTCTGAGCCCAGCCCCTCTGAGCCGGGCACCCCACTGACCTCATCCCCATCCCCCCCCAGCCCTGACCCCCAGCTCCGAGCCCAGCCCCTCTGAACCGGACACCTCCGACCCCATCTCCCCCACAGCCCTGACCCCAGCTCTGAGCACAGCCCCTCTGAGCCGGGCACCCTCCCGACCCCATCCCCCCACAGCCCTGACCCCCAGCTCTGAACCCAGCCCCTCTGAACCGGACACCCCCGACCCCATCTCCCCCACAGCCCTGACCCCCAGCTCTGAGCCCAGCCCCTCTGAGCCGGACACCCCCCAACCCCATCCTCCCCACAGCCCTGACCCTAGCCCCTGTGAGCCGGACACCCCTTGACCCCATCCCCCCACAGCCCTGACCCCCAGCTCCGAGCCCAGCCCCTCTGAGCCGGACACTCCCCTGACCCCATCTCCCCACAGCCCTGAGTCCAGCCCCTGTGAGCCAGGCATCCCCCAACCTAGAGCCCAGCCCTGGGCAACAGCAGCACCACCCCCAGGCAGCGACAGCCCATTGGCACCAACCATCACCATCACCCAGCCACAGCCCATTATGTAATTGCAAATGTATACATACCATTAAAGCATTTAATGTTTTTAAATAATGTATTTAGTGTATTTACAAATTAATTTTTGAGTGTATTTCACTAGTTATTTTTTACATTTCCAAATACATGTTACTATAGTATTGCAACTTTTTTTTATGGAAGGGGCCCCCGAAATTGCTTTGCCCCAGGCCCCCTGAATCCTCTGGGCGGCCCTGTTTTTTGGAGAGGCTTAGCCTCCCCCAGCTTCTTACATGCGCCACCCATGAATGCATCCAATCTTCTTTTAAAACTTCAAAGTTTTGCAGATGATTCCAATGATGAATGTTTATCACTTAACAATTTGCACCTTATTTCCAGTTTGAATTGTCTAGCTTCAACTTCCAACTATTAGTTCTTGCTATTCTTTTGTATACTAGTTTAAAAATGCATTCCACCATCAGATATCGGCCTTACAGGATGTGATCAGTTCTATCTATCTTAGTTACTTATATGGCCCCTGTGACAATTTTCAATGTATTTATCCCCACAATACCTCTGTAGTGTAGGGAAGTGCCATTTTCCCCATAGGGAATCAAGGCACAGAGAGACTAAGTGACTTGCCAATTCTCACACAGGAGGCCTATAGCAGGCCAGTAAATTGAACCCAGGTTTCCAATGTCCTATGCTAGCACTCTCACCACATAATCTCCTCCCTCCTGCCATAAATGTAACGCTGTATGTGCTTGAAAAAGGCATGTTACAGGATCTTAGATTTGTGTCTAAATACTGACTGCTGAATTTGTAGCCAAGTCCCTACAGTACATTTAAAAATGATTGCACCAATGTTTCTAATGTAGTACTACAATCTTGTACTCACTGTGACTGCATTGATAATACAGTGAATCATTGGTTCATTTCTCAGGTGAAGACAGATGACAGAATCATCAAAATGGACCTTGGCCTCTTATTCTTAAGGCTGCACAGGCTGGATGCAGGGACCTATTTTTGTCAGACTGTGGAACACAGCATTGTTCATATAGTCAGAAAAATCACCCTGGAGGTGGTGGAGGAAGGGCGCGTGGATGAAATGTTCAACAAAGACTATGAGGAGGACATACCTCACAAAATGCCATGCCCAGCACAGAGCAGCATTCCTCAGGCATCGAAGCCGTGGTACAAGGAATTTCTGCAGCTAATAGGGTACAGCAACTTCCAGAGGGTCGAGGAGTATTGCGAAAAGGTGTGGTGCACGGATAAGAGGAGGAAAAAGCTCAAAATGTCCCCATCCAAGTGGAAGTACGCCAACCCACAGGAGAAGAAGGCACGCATCAGGCCAGAGCATTACCGCCTCCCCAGGAACGTAGTTGACTCTTGATGGACAAAATCCATCCATTCTTTCTGGGAGAATTTTTATTTGGACCTAAGGAATAGGGAGAAATCAGTCTTGGGTTTGGTAACTGAAACAGGTTTATGTATATATTAAATAATGGGACTGAAAACAGAAAAGTGTTCTGTTAAATTATAGCTTATACTAGCTGTTTCTAAATAGGTCATTGCATTCAGTGTTTTCCATTTAAGGAGAACATGACAATCATTGTACTTTGAGTGCTTTAGTCAATTTCCCATGTGGACCATGCTTCTGCTGTATATTCTTGCATATTAAGGGAATATTAAAGTAAACTCAGATAGCTAAGCATTGACAAGCAGAAGAAAAATTTGATGTATAATTTCCATTGGTTTCACAAATGTCCTATTGCTTCTAAAAGCAGCACATTGCAAGATCTTAGCTTTCACTTGTGGCCTGTTTGTCTGTATTCGTAAGAGCCACAAGTTTTGTTAGTGTGGTGTACTCTTATTTCTAAAGATGTTGAAGGGGAATCTTATTTACTTCCCATCATTGCTTGTCTTTACCAGTAATTTATGAAGCACAGTGTACTACTATCACAACTAAATAGTACTGCCTTGTAACTTGATGTAAGTCAAATGCATGCAGAGAACAAAAGCAGAATGAAGTTCTTCAGTGTAACTTGCTGTAAGACATTGGAGTAATAGTTTAGTCAGAGTGTAAATCATGATTATGGCAATGGACAGTTGGCTCAGTAGATATAAGATTTATAAGAATGCCCTCTTGTGGAAAAAGAGAGCATTTCCTTATCTTGGTGTTACATTTTCTGCAGAAATTTATATACTTGAGTGTTATCCACATTCTCCTGATTTGCAGCCTATCTGTTAGTTTTACAGCCTTTCTGCTGCATGTGCTGAAATCTCAAATATTTCGAACACAGGGTTAGAAATCACGTGTATTGGGGAACAGAGCTTAAAGAAATAAGCAACATATTAAGGCATTCAATGTAATATGCTCTTGCTGTAGCAAATACTGGTGAAAGAGACAGGTAGTGAAAACAACTTGTATTTGTATAGTTGCATGCTCTGATTTACCTGATATGGAATCTCTTCTTAGCACAGCTATTTTGCTGAAATTGTGAATACTAGGGATGTGGGATCAAAAGAATAAGAAATCACTTACCACCTAGAATTTTCAGAGTATCACTAAAAAAAAAAAAAGCTTTAATTTTATGTTTAATTTTCATATTTTTCTTAAAAGCGTAACACATTTTAGCACGAAGAGTCACATGAGAAATTGGATGTGAACATATGAATTGGAACTAAAAAACCTGCAAATATAAGCTACAGTTGTGATATAAAAATATGAATCACAAATAGAACAGTTGGAAAACTCTAGCTGAGTGTGAGTTCTGCAGGATCCTTTCCCATCTGCTGAGATGGGTTTTAGTGTGTGAATTATTACATCCCAATTGTTTTGCACCACTAGATAAATCAACTGCTTCAGTCAGAACATGACCCCAACCATAATGAATAGCCCCAAGTCTATAAAATTGGTCTGTCTCACAATTTTATACCTATCTCATGGAACTGGAAGGGACCCTGAAAGGTCATCAAGTCCAGCCCCCTGCCTTCACCAGCAGGACCAAATATTGATTTTGCCCCAGATCCCTAAGTGGCCCCCTCAAGGATTGAACTCACAACTTGGGTTTAAGTAGGCCAATGCTCAAACCACTGAGCTATCCCTCCCCCTAGGTAACCACACATCTATTTCAGGGATGTTCCAGTTAACAGGTTCATATACAACTCATTCCACCTTCAACTTCTAATCAAGAAACGGTGTCTGGGATTAACGTTCTGGGGCACACAGATTTGTTGTTAACCTAGCAATCCTGTTATTAACCTAACACTGGAGTGGAGGTCATTGCTGTGCACTCCAGTGTCTCTAAGATACTCTGTATGTGGAACGAACAAAACACTGTGTCTGAGAGAAGGCAGTTGCTGGGATCAGAGTCTAAAGCTAGCATCGGAGTGAGCTTAACTAGGATCTTACCTCTTCAAAAGCATCATTTGCTGGGAGCAGAGAGTGTCTTGGTGCTCAGAGGGATGCTGTGTGCAACTTGCCAGTAAACAGAAGCAAAAGGAGAAGCAGGATTTCATATTATATCAGTCACACAGATGGATAAACCTCTCTAGCTTCTAGTTATTTTAAGTAGGCTGCAATTTATCTAAGAGTTTGCATGGCACGTAGCTAGAGGGGCTGGCTCAGTGATCCAGTGGCAAAGGCATGAGGAGATCTGAGCTCTCTGCTCCCTTGACCAGGAGAAGCAGAGAACATTATGGAAAGAGCATCTACAGCCGCTTTGGGAGAGGGAACATCTTGTAGCCACACCCTGTTGCTGATGCTGTGTATGGTGTGAAAGCATCCAGTGCAGAAAGCATCAGATGAATTCATTCTGCAATGCCAGTTTGGGGCTGGAGGGGCTTTACTCCAGTTAGTATCGTATATATTGCTACAGCTTCACACAAAATTGTAGCACTGAAGTCTACGAAGTAGGGGAGGAGAACATATATACCCATAGGCATCCCTACCTATTACTTACCTCCTCTTAATTAGCTAAGCAAAATCTGACTGGCATACACATACCATCTGACTCCCCCTAGTGGTACACTATTACAACCCCACAGAAGTTCTCCAGCAGCAGGCAGGTAGTAGGTTGCTAGGGTGACCAGATGTCCCAATTTTATAGGGACAGTCCGGATATTTGGGGCTTTTTCTTATATAGGCTCCTATTACCCCCAACCCCCTGTCCCGATTTTTCACACTTGCTGTCTGACACCCTATAGGTTGCTTGACATTTAAGAGTAGTGGGTAAAGAAATGAAGAATACTAAAAGGAGAGATCCCCTAGGCTAAAGGAAATATCAATTATTTCCTCCTCCAGGCATTACTGGACATAAAGGCATTCAGGTTTTCCAAGTGAAAAATAATCTCTAAAGCAATTCATTGATTGGGGGTTGGGGAAGATGCATGGTGTCTGTCACGGCAGAGATAAATTTGTGTTATAGGAATATAATGGGGATTCTTTATTCAGGCCACTGGACATGGACAGCCTTCGGAGTTCTTCCAAGCTCTCTAGCTCGCAGAAGAACTAAACACAGCTAGTCCAGCGACGCCACATCTCCGCAAATCTTGTTCTGAACTGAATCATCATAGAATGTGTTTGCTCCACTACTGGAGTATCATAGAATCCACAGCTCTTTAAGGGTGATGTTGGCATTTTCATTAATTTGTTGTCAAGTAGCTCAGTGCTAAAGGCTCATGTCAGATGCAGTACCACGTAGTGACAGAAATAACAAATCCTCTGTCAGCTTGAGGGAACTAACTCAATTATGTGTATATGGAATTCTCTGAGATTATAGGTGGAAATCAGGTGATCCACAAACCAGAATTTCTGTTTCAACACAATATATTTTTGATAGTTTCCTTTCCCAATGTTAGTTAAATTTGGAGAATCATCTTAAATTCTTAGCTTGTGCGGGGACAGTTTGAGGATCTTTAAACCTTCATCATTAACAGTGACCGTAACAATTCCTAAAACCAAGATCTCCTTTAAAATTATGACGACTGCGGAAGAAGAGCAAGTGTGACAATAATGCATTTGAGTCAGATATGCATTTTTCTGCACAGAGATGCTTTTATAGTAGGCAACATTATTTAAAATGCTTTTTTGTGTATATACGGGGTGGTGGTGTGTGTTTCTTTTCATTATGGATTTGATGTATTTTGTATGTGCATGAAGTGGCCTAATTATATAATGAAGTACAGTACAGTATTTGGGTGATATAATCTGTATGGCTTCCTGTTATTTATTTCGGAGCATGTGGAGCAGTATTTATTTTCACTGATCACCCAATGGATATATTGTCTCCCATCAATTTCTAGTGTGGATTGCACATTTCTGAGGGCAGAATTTCGTGACAAAAGACTGGCGGATTATAATCTGTAGCAGTTCACTGAGAGGTAACATGAGTTAGTGGACAAGGAACTAGAGGGCTAGTCTACACTAGAATTGCTACAGCTGGGCCACTGTAGTGCCTCTCGGTGCTCTCCCATTGGCATAATTACTCCACTTCCCCGAGTGGCGGTAGCTATGTTGGCGGGAGAGCGTCTCCTGCTGACATAGCGCTGTCCACACCAGCGCTTAGGTCGGTGTAACTTATGTCGCTCGGGGGGGGGTGACTTTTCAACCCCCCTGACCAAATTAAGTTATACCGAAGTAAGTGCTAGTATGTTCAAGCCCTGAGGACTCATTAGGCCTGGGCTCTGATGCTGACCTACTGTGTTACCTTGACAGGTCACTTCACAGCTCTGTGTCTCTGTTTCCCCTCCTGCTGGTTTACTGTCTTGTTATCTGAGCCCCTGGTCCTGCAATTTGTTGCAAGAGGCACTTAGAGAGTAATCTCTTTGGGACAGGAGCTGTCTCCCACTATGTTTATGTACAGCTCCTAGCATGATGTGGCCCTGATCTTAGGGCTTCTAGGCTCCACTCCAATACAAATAATAATTATTATTGCTCTAAAACTTTTTGTTATGGGACGTTTGTCTTGTATACCTCAACACAGGTCTTAAGACTCTGCCTAACTTTTCTGTAGCAAAGAAACGTCTCTTGTATGTAGTTCAAAATTGTGAAAGAAACAACACACGCACATACGCACAAATGTGCGGACCTTCATTTGGCTGAACAGATGAGTCAGTAACCATATTTTGAAATGACACACAGATTATTTTCCAGCATAATTAATATACTGGTGGAGCTGCATTTTTATTAGTATTATTTTGGAGAAAAAAAATCAATTTTCTGTCCTTGAAAAAATAGTGAACCCGTTTCTTTTGGGGGAGAAAAATCCATGAATATCCTCATTCTACCTAGGAGCAGCGAAGTTGGAGTTATTTATGCCACCTCATGTCTCTAGGTCCAGAAGTTACACATACTCTTGAAAGCTGCACTGTCCAGATAAGAGGCACTGGAAGTGAGCTTTTTTACATTTGTGACCTAGCAGGATGTTTGTTATTCCCATCAGCCCTGTGAATCCATTTCCGTTCACCAAACTGCTGTTTTCGTTTGAGATTTTAAAGAGCCAGAGGGAGGATTCCTGTTCATTTACCTCAGGTAATTGGTGCAAATGAAGCCGTGACTGGCAAGCCTTGTTTTTTAAGTGTTTTTTTTTTCTTTGATAAAATACTTTGCCTGAATAATACTGTAATCTTGCAAAACTGGAACAGCTGACAGGATCACGATGCATCAAGTACAAATACTACTAGCTATGATTATTTAAAACAAGATCTTAATCAGTGTTTCATTGTGTCTCAGGATCCAATCCTTCAACTAGACCCACACACACAAACCCTCGTGTCCACACGGACCACTGTTGCAGTCTGTGGCCTGCGAAGACATGATTGCCCCTCCAGACCAATGCAGCATATAATACTGTTGCTGAGATTGCAAAACACTCTGTAATATAAGGATGTACAGAACATTAACCCTCTGTTTCCTTGTGCTCATAAGTCTCTAAAGTCAATGGGGCTGTTCATGGGTGCAGGGGTCAGCCAACATGAACCCAGCTGCAGGTTTGGGACTTTAAAGCCTGGTGCTTTAAGGCCCCAATAAGCACTAGTATTACAAGCAGGGCTCCCTTTTACCTACAGGGAGCATGTAACAGGGTGCTGGCCAGGAGGTCCTGAGCCAGCCCTCTGTTAGCCCAGCCCCAATTAGGAAGCATTGATTGGACCTGGCTGAGTATGCCACGCCTAACTGGATAGAAGGGAAGCACCTGTGGACCTCATTAGCCAGGGGGCTATATAGGGCAGGCAGGCCAAGCCAGAAGGAGCCAAGGGCTGTGCATCCCTGCTGGCTGGAGAAGCTAGCTGTCCCCCAGGTTGCTACTTGGCAGCAGTCTGTAAATAGAAGTGGTGGGAGCTGACACTGTAAATAAAAGGCACTGGTGATTGCACTCAGAAGAGGTCTCTGGCTGACTTGTTGCGAAGACATGTGAACTCCTTGCTACCGAGCCCCACTGAATTCAATGGAGCTTTGCATAGTAGCAAAGGTAGCCTGTTTGGAGCAGCTTTTGGGATTAGGGCCATAATGAATGAGCTATTTAGGCAAATATTCTTATTTACAGCGCTCCGCAAGTTATGGCAAAGCAAAATGTTCCTTTCACTATGAAGTCTGGCTGCTCCAAATGGAGACTTTGCTACTATTGATAGTGTTATTGCACATTATTTTAAATACTGCAGCTGAAAAAGGGCTATATTCGCTAACTGTTCTATTTAATTTCTTTCCGTTTACGTATACATTAAAAGCCATCTTTCCTAAGACCTCCCATCAGTTTTGAGAAATGTTAAAACATAATGCATCCAGCAAAATGGGCTATCTCCGCGTTATTGCTTCTGGCTGTAAACGAAGAGAACACTCCATTGATTCATATTCTGAAGGTTTTCTTCACACCTGAAAGTACTAGAACCCCTCCACCCCCCCAATTTAACAATGAAAGCTCAAATCCACCTTCAATGTAGAAACTGCTGACTGGAATAAATTTGGGAAGGGTTCCAAACCCCAGAGTATCACCTCTTCCAACTGTTGCATGACT